TAAATATTGTGTTCACTGGGGGATAGCCTCATATGTCATGTGAGACGACTCCATTTTTAAAAAGAAAGCTCATATTCTGAGGAAACTGATTATTTAATTGGATTGCTACAACCTAACACCATTAAATATTTGCCTCATTTCATTTCATCAAATGACAGTTCATACGTCTGTGCTAATGGGTCCATCTGTTAAGAATATTTCCTCATAGCTAACTTATTCATGCTCTTCCGTTTTCCCCACACGTTCTGCTGTCCATGCCCCCCATTTCTAAGGCACCAGAACACAGTTCTCTGAGGGTAGCTTGTCCTTCACTGCAGAGGCTTTCCTAAGGGAAACAGAGCCACATCTACCAACAGTGCTCTTTGGGTTTATCTGCAGCTTTTGCAAGAACTACATCAAGCAACAGAATAGGGGTCTCTGTTGCTACGGGATACACTAGCTGACGGTGTGGGTAGAATCCTTCTCCTAGAGCGGGCCTACATTGCATCAGTGGTTTTTGTTTCAAACAAAGTATTACTTTTTCCTTTTTAAGAAATTCAACATTGCTAGGACCAACGCTGCATGTAGGTTTATAAAAATAACAGCTGCAATCTATTTAGAGATTACAATGGCTTCACACACAAGATCATGTGATTCTCAGAACACTTTCATAACTGGCTTTGAAGTCAAATAGATCACTTGCATTGTATTGGAACTTAGTTTTCTTATCTGTAAAGTGGGATAATAATGCTTCCTAGATTTGGTAAAGATAAAATGAAACATATGTGTAAATTAGCTAATATAATAGCTATAGACTTTAGTAAGTAGTGTTTATTCTACTGATTTATCAGGAAGCATGAGATTGTTATTCCAGGGATAAATAGATACAGTTAAAGAACCATCTACTAATTTTTCCTATGTTTGAGCAAAACATGGTTACTTAGAATATTGCCTATTTCAAAAGGGTGCCGTATCAGAGAGGTCGTTGTGTCTGTTCTTTTAAGCCTTCCTTCCACATTAAATCACCCCAAAGTCCTGAAAATTCTCAAAAGATTCTCACAATGTAGTTGCTGATATTCCATTGATTGGAGGTACCAGTGTGACTTTAACCACAACTCTATGGTTAAATATTTAAGTTACTGTCAAGCTTGAAATACATTAAATAGTGTTGTGGTTAATACAGTCATCATATTTTTTCCTAAATTCTGGTTGATTTTCTCAAAAATCATCTCTGGAAATGAGATATATGGATGAGCTGAAAATATGTTTTTATGGATTTTGATAAAAAAATTACCAAATTGCTTTTCAACTTATGATGTCTTATATGAATATAGTTGTATCAAATTCTAATCTAATTAGTTCTTTTTATTTCAGAAAATCTTCAATTCAATTGTGTTGAATGTAATAAATATTTGTTGGAGAACACAATAATGAAAAAAATACCAAAACTCAAAAATAGCCTTAGAAACTGGCAGACAAAGAAGAATTGCTATATTGGGCATAAGATCCTTATTTGGAGTGAAGAAATAAACCAGACTGGCTCACAGAAACCAGGCCAGGTAGTAGCTAACATTTATTGAGGAATTCCTCTAACAGCTCACTCTGTGACAAATACTTTACATGGATTGTTTTTATCAAATTTTTATCAAATTTTTATCAAATTCTCCCTCAAGGTGCCATTTTACAGCTGAGAAAATGTACTAGCATCTGGAAATGAGACTGGAAGCAAAGTCTTAAAGGGGAAGAAGTAGCCGCTAATAATCAGCCTAATTTTCCTGTTTTGCATCTAGGTTAGCAATCATGGTACATACTCCAGAAACCTGGTAGGGATTTGAGATCTTCCCTGACCTTGGGGTTAAGTAAGAAAAAAGCAAGGAGGAACAAAGGCAGTTGAATTGCTCCCTTCCAGAGGTTTTTAAAGGTATTGATGCCACTGTGATGGTCTGTGAGCCTGGAGCCAGGCATCTCTGAAGACTTTCACGACGGAAAGAGCCAATGTTCTGCCAGCATTGCCAGGGGCCATGGCAGAATGAGTACCAACAGTGTTTTTTCTTCTGTAAAAGACAATACCTGCTCATATCCAGATAGACACACTGGCTTTCCCACTCAACCTTTTCATTGCAGAACAAACACATCTATCATGATCGATGTATAAGAAATATCCCTTGCATGCAGTCCCCTTTGCCCCTCCTTCCTATGCTTTAAGCCTTCAAAAGACACAAGGCTCTGGCATTTTATGGGTTTACCTCTCTAAGACTTTGGTGTCAGAAAAGCAGCTGGGAGTATTAAAGAAACCTGGCTCCAACCAGTACAGTGTCTTGGCGTTCTTACACTGATTTTCCTGCGGGGTTCACAGGAAGAGCTGGGCTGCTTACTTTGCCTCGGTGCTGGGATAGCCTGTAGAAGGAAAAGTGATGGCACTGACCAGCTTCAGAAACACCACTCTGAAGCAGTGAGAGAAACTATTATGTGAGCTGTATTACAAAATGGGACATTGGTCCTAGCTCATGCCAATACGATATCATGAAGTCCTCCGTGCTCTCAGGATAAAGCCTTGGCTCCTTCCCGTGCTGCACACAGCTCTTCCAGATTCTGTTCCTTCCTCTGCTCCTAGTACCTCCCTCAAAGCTATGCTCCAGACTTACTGATCCTTGTTTGGCTCCAGGCTTATGTATCTCTCTTGTCTCAAGTGTTCTGTACCAGCTGATTTCTTTGCTTTTAGCAATTTCCTCCTTCTTCCCCTCCAGGTGGGCTACCTCCTCCAGGAAGCAGTCCCTGATCACTGAAAACTAGGTCGTGTTTCCCTCTTGTGGATCTCTATAAATCCCTTTGTGCCCCATGCTTATTAAAATGTTGAATTCCCTTTCACTTACCTGCTTCCTCTCAGGGTACAGCAAAGGCAGTGTCTTACTCCTTCTTTGCATCTGATTGTTAGGGCAGTACCTGGCTCAGAAAAGACCCTTCATAAATGTGTGTGATTGTGGAAGACCCATCTTTGGCTCCTCCTTAGATGACTCACAGAGACACTAAACACGCTAAGCACACGGAGACTGGCATCGCTTCTGCTGTGTGTTCCACTGCATGCAGGCTGCTGGATTCTTGTTCCCACACAGCTCACTCTGTCTCTGTCTCTGCTTCTGCCTCCCCTTCTCTCTTTTTCACATTTTACACACACATGTGTACCCATACATGCATATATAGTTGTTCAGCTATATTATGAACTAACATCTTGCCTATAATGCTATTATTTGTGCTTTGAAGCATTTGCACATCCATTCTGCAGTTATCCTGAAAGAATTCCTACTAACTCCACTACCTCTACTAACTCTTCATACAAGTTTGGAAAACAACTGGCATGAGCTTAAAAGGTAACTCACAGTGTTCTATACTGTCTCTGTTCTAAATAGCTGAGTATGATCTCAAAACCTCACAAAATGCCTTCTCAGAACTTCCTAGTTGATTGAGAGACTACAAAAGAAGCATATCTATCATGATGGTTGCTTCCAAAATTAGGTAAGGCCTGAATAGATAAGCAGAAAATGTGTCTTTGAAGTAGTCAGTTAATCTTGGGATAGCTATGACTGTCCCCAGAGCCATGCAAATCATCAATGCAAAATACAACATACTTTCATGGAGTTAAAATGCTAACTGGACAAATGGCTCAAGTTCAAAGAGTGCCTTTGTTTAGAGCCACCCTAGCGACATTTTCTCAGTTCCTGGCTGGAGAGTGGGAGCTACTACTTACCATCTACCTCCTGCCCTCTTAACCCGAAGCTTGTTACATTAAGGTGCGAAAGTTTTATGTGTATAATTTGTGAAGTTCTCTTGAGCAGACAGTGCTATATAAATGTGAAATGCTGTTATTAATAATAAAGGTTGGCTAACCTAGGAATACTGTAGAATTAAAGTAATGAGATTCTATTTTTAGGCAGACTTGCCAATAACATGCAAGTATGATAAGGCTGTGATTTAAAGCTCCCTTTAGCCTTCCCTAGCTCTAAAGAGTACATTTTCTGGGCTGCCTACACACAGTAGTCAGCCTCACAGAGCTCTATTAAGGCTAATGGTAGCTCCGCGTTTGAATCCCAGCATGCCTGGCTAAAAATAGGCCTTGGTCTTTCAGACATGAGAGCCTGTGTCATAGACAACTAGCTTTCATAAACCATAGATTGGCATTTCTGGGCTCCTAGCAACTGATTGCTTTTTTTGAAATGATAAAAGAAACCCCTCTAGAATATGTTTTGAAATTTTTATTTATCTGTAGTTATGTGTAGATATAGGATGTTTTGGGGGAGCTTTGTTTGTTTGTTTTCAAATTGGAAAAGATATTTTACAAAGGGCCAGGTTCAAAGTGATTCATAACTGGGAAAGAAGTCCCATTCCTCAGGAAAAAAAATAATTAGCTCTTCCTCCACTAATGTTCAGGTCAATGCTTTGTCAATAACAGTAACTCTTCTCCACCAATTTAGTGCAGCCTATAAAGATCATTATGACTCATAATTACAGATGCAGATTTATGTCAAAATGCATATATAAATCTCCAGTTCTGGCGATGGGTCACCTCTTATCAGAAAAAAAGATTTGTGTAAGGAGACACTCTCCTTGATCCTTCTGGGCATTTTTTCTCTTTCCATTTTGAGGGTAGAATTATAAGGTTTGCTTTCAGTGACACAAATACCACGAAGAGGGTGTTACAGATTCACATCAGGAAGGAGCAGGAAGCTGACTGGCTGTGGAGATTGGTAACGGGGGGTTGGGTGGGAGAGAGTTGTGGAAATAGCTTTCTGGGGTTATTGTTATCTGGCTAAATGAAGAGCCCCTTTAAACACCTGCAGGCCACACACCGTAAATCAAAGAAAGACGATTATCTGGACAGAGGGAAATGGACTGAGTCTTATGGAGGCTGAAGTCTACTGCTTGATTCTAGGGACAGGAAAGGAATGGTTTTGATGGGTTATCAAATTCTACAGAGCACTGAAAGACCACTTTGTCAAAGATTTTTAAAATGCATTTTCTCCTAGGAGAGCTGAGTTTTCAAACATCCACTGGTCTCCTGATGGCAGAAAGGCAAGGTTTCCCAAAACCTATGGAGGACACGCACATCCTTTATGTGTGCACAGGTAACTGCTGGAAAGCTGCTAGCCCTTCTCCTATATTACTATGAGGATACCCAAAAAGTGCGCTTTTTTCCTTCCTGTGGATATCAACCGTACATACCCAACTGAGATGAGTGCATATGTCCACAAGACCTGTACAAGGATATGCACCATATCTTTATTCATTACAGCCCAATCCTTGAGACAACCCAAACATCTATCAACAGGTGAATCAATAAACAAACTGTCACATATCCTTGCATCCAGCAATAAAAAGCAACCAGCTACCAATGCCCACATAACGTAGATGAATCTAAAACATGTTATTTTAAGTGAAAGAAGCCACACACAAAAGAGTGCATACTGTAGGAATCCATTTATTTGAATTTTGAGGACAGGTAAAACTGATCCATGAAAAGGAATCAGAATACTAGCTATTTCCATGAGGTAGAGGGTTATTGACTAGAAAATTACAGAAGGCAACTCTAGGTGATGAAAATGTTTTATATCCTAAGCTGGACGGGGTTAACATGGTATCTACATATGTAAAAACTTCACTGGGTTATGAACTTAAGATTTGTGAAATTTAGTGTTTGTAAATTATAGTTCAATAAATAAAAGTTTTTTAAAAAGCTATGAGGAAAAATACAGGAAGAAAAGCTCATTTTATAAGAGTAATCACGAACAAAGAATCATACAGATGTTCTAAAGAGTAAATAAAAGTGGATAAATGAAAAAATCCGAATCTTTCCCCTCTTCTCACTTTTATCACAGGACGTGAAAATGTGCAGTTACAGAAAACTAAAATCATTATGCAATGTGCTTGGGAATTCATTGAGAGCTCTTTAAAGGTTTATTTTCAGCGTGTTTCTCTTAAATTAGGAAATGCTTCATTGATAAGTTTCTTCTCAGGAAATGATGGTGTCTAAACATAAACAGCCGGGAAACAGATATTTTCAATTGCTTCATCACAGATCTGAATAAGAGATCAATTAGTTAATGATACTGTTGACTTTAACCCTACTTCAATAAAATGTAGTTTACCCTCTTTAATATTTAGATCAATGATAGTAGCGTGCTCCAGTGTTCTATGAAAAAAATTGATATGAAGTACACATTTTCTATTTTCCATACAATATTCCTCTTTGGATTTCTCTTATGCTAAATATTTTCTAGTTATTAAAAAAAGTCTTCATCAGATACTTGCCTTCCCAAGTCACTAACAGAACAAAGAGGCTTCGTTTTCAAGAATGATCATGACACAATTTCCAAATGGCATCTGCTTTTCATTATTCAGTTGACATTTCCATTTCTGGAATTCTGAAGTTTGTCTAAAACTGTTAATGACATGTCTAAAATGCTTGCTGAATTTTAAAACGGACCCTAGAGATCACCAAAACCTTCCTCTTCACTAAAGATGAGGAAACTGAGATCAAGGAAGGTTAAGCCCCTTGCCCGGGCTTGCCTCCTCTGGCTGCCACCTTGTATAAAATTTGGGTGCTTGCCTTGAACTGCTTGAGACTGGCAGATTCCATGATCAAAGAGATATCACTGCTGCATCCTCTGTGAGCACGTGCACATGGTGTGCACACAGTCTGAGACTGAGAGTGCAAGAAACTCAGCTACTCAGTAGGTAGTGAAAACAGCCCAAACAGCTTGCAGACCACCCAGTGTACAGAACACTGGCTCACAGAGCTCGAGGTATTTGGTTGCCGGTAAAGGGACACACATATTTAGCTTAAAGTGTCTGATAGAGACTTCACTGTGGGGCAACTAGAGGCCAAAACCAGAATTCCATGATTTGAGCAATCCATTCGGGACCCTTCCCCTCTCAGGAGCTATTCCTATTTTCCTGTTCCCCAAACAAAACAAAACAAATGAAACAATTCCATCACTAGGACCTACTCTAGGTCTTACAGACTGTCTTTATTGGGCACCTCATTCTTGTCTGGAAAGTAGAGATAATAATATGACCTTGTTTATGCAAGTCAAGTCAGCAAGTCAGCCTCATCTAGATAACCTGGGAATTTTAGCAAGGAATTGTGCCCTGTCTTATTTTTCATGATTTTCCCATTTCCACTTTCTTGTACACACTGTTCAGTGAGCTTAATGCCCTTCTCTTTCCATCACACCCTGTGAGTTCCCTCCAAGCACCAGTTGCCCTATTATTAGCCATTGTACCCTCTGCCCACCCCTCATCCATTGACTCCCAACACAGGCATAGCTCACTGTACACATTTTAGCATCAAATTCTTTTGGTCTTGGATGCTCTTTGATTATTTTAGTGGATGCAAGCTTTCTGTAGACAGGGACCACAGAAGGTATTTCTTTTTCGTCTTTACTAGGACCTAACATAGTGGGGAGCATGGCACAGATGCTTGAAAATCATTGCAATGAAGGAATTAAAAGGAATTAAAGCAGATACTAAATGTTGATCCCAACAATGGCTGGTGAACTGCTCCGATGGTGATATTCTATAAAGTCATATTTCAAAATATATCTTATATAGAAGAAAAACTGTAGTCAAGGGTAGAGGGTTCTTGCCTGGAGAGAAACTGTGACTTTCATCATAACTACATTTTGAAAACCTAGTGTTTCTTTTTAGTCCATTTGGAATGTACGTGATTTAAGTATCAAGACAAAGTCCTGTTTTGGATTTATGTATCAAATAAAGACCCACAGCTAAAAACAAAATATGAAAACATATCTCCAGTTCATGTCCATGGTTGCATTCTTTTTAAATTCTAGGGAAGTAATAGAGTCATCACAAATGTACAATGGGACTTGTAAAACTTATGGTGAACATTATAAATATATTGGAAAAGTGTGTTAAAAGCTTTAGAGAACCCCCAAGTATCTGGGATTTACTGTAGCAGAAGCCTTTCTTTCTCTTTGTGCTCCGATGGCTGCCAAGCATCTTTTCCACAAAAGATCTTTCTCAAGTAGAGATCAGAATGCATCTGATCTGTTTAGAAGATTGCCACTTACACTGCCACTTTGACCTTTTCAAGGCTGTGGTCCCATTTTTTTATTTATTTAAACAACAAATATTTTTGTCCATTTTTGTGAATTTACTGCTTCCCTTAGCCTTCCTAATTTTAATTTTTGTGTAATTTTCAGGTAGTGGCCAAGACATGCTAAATGCTAAAAAGAACAAAGACGGGGCTAGAGATTTAGCTCAGCAGCATAAGCACCTGACTTGCAAGCAGGCAGTCGTGAGTTCGATCCCAGTACCAATAAAAAGGAAAAAGACAAAAAAAAAAAAAAAAAAAAAAAAAAAAAAAGAAGAAGAAGAAGAAGGAAAGAAAGAAAGAAAGAAAGAAAGAACAAAGACAAGGAAACTACAGTTCCTTCACCTTGTGGTTGATTCTTTGGGGCATGAGTTCTGATTCTTTATCAGTTTACTTATTCAAGATGCCAGTATTTGGCTGCCTTTGTAAAAAGGGGTATACATAGTTATCTGACTGTAATATACAGGCCTTTCTGGTGTTCTCTTATTTTTAACTAATAACTAAAAAGTTTATGTATTTGTGATGTATAACTTGATGTTTTAAAATATGTATACATTGTGGGGTGAGTGAGTCAACATAATGTAAATAGGGCATATTTTGAGGTGAAAGCATTTAAGATCTCCTCTTAGCAATTTCAAGTACATAAAGGTTATTATTAACTATAGTTACCATGCTGTAAATAGATCTCTTGAATTTGTTTCTCCTATCTAGCTGAAATTTTGTGTCCTCTGACCAACATAGGGCCGATTCCTTCTGTTTGCTTCAGCCCTGGTAACCAACATTTGACTTTCTAGCTTTATGAATTTGAACTTTTTAGATTCCACATGTGAGTGAGATAATGTAGTATTTATTTTTCCATGCCTGGTTTTTGTCACTTCACATAATGTCCTCCAATTTCTATGTTGTCACAAACAACAAAATTCTCTTTTTATTAAGGCAGAGTAGCATGGAATTATGCATAATTTCTCTTCACTGATGGACACCTAGTTGATACCATATCTTGGCCACTGTGAAGTGCTACAGTAAACATTGAAATGCAAATGCATCCCTGGCATGTGAATCTGGGGTATATTGAATATGCATACTCACAGTAGGACTGCTGCACAAGATAGTAATTCGATTTTGTATTTTCTAGTATCATCTTTTGATTTCTCTTTATAAAGTCTTTCATTCAACAACTATTTAATGTCAATCCCATACACAGCAAAGAGGAACACACCAACACCCTTGCTATCATGGAGCTTCGGTTTAAGGTCTTCTTTTTCTTTGAGGTTCTTGGATTTTGGTCCTTTGCTGCTTCTCCTCAGTTCCCACCATGTTACTGACAGCCCTGGCAGATAACTTGCTGCACGCCTATGACCAGTGTCAGTTTTGTTTTCCCTATGTTGATTATATGTCTCACCCTCAAAATATAGCATATGTATGCCATATACACACATATATATAATTTTTAATAGTCTGGTATAATTTGTTTCTTTCAAGCCTCTCAGTGGAGGTCCTTAATAAAGTGTGTAATGGGAGCATTTTAGATGAAAGAAAATTGGAGCTATTTTCATTTTCTTTATATATCCAAATTATTGTAACATTTGGACAACTAGTTAATAGATTAAGTCCATTACTGTTTTGCAAAAGCAAATGTTTTTTCAGTAAATTATCTTTTACTTTTTACACATCCAAACACAGAATTTTCCTGTTGTGATATTTGACCCCAATCATTGGTGCCATTAAAGATCAAGAGTTATAGCATCAATCTACATGTTCAGTTCTGAAAGGCGAGTATAAAGCTCACAGCTAGGTTTTTAACTCTCATCAAGGATGGTTAGCAGAAAGTGTGGTTCAATCTCACACCAAGATACGGAATCACAGCAAAGTACACTGTGCTATTCAGTATACTAAAGTGTTAACTGTTCTTTTAGATAATGGTGGTTTGATGAAGTATTGGAAGATGGTACAGTGATCAATGTTAAGTGGAGCTTCTCTGTTACATAGGAGCTCTTTTCAGAACTGTTAGTGTTATTATGTTCATTTCTGCGGCCACAATGAGATTAACACCAAATGGAGAAGTCTTTGCTTAAAGACTACATTCAAGAAATTGGGAAATACACAAACCTTTTCCTGGGTTAAAGGGTAGATTTTATGACTATTTATGACTATCCTATATATTCCACCCCACAGAGGCAGTTGGCTCTTCTCACAGTAGAGAGATATGAGGGAATGTAATTTGAAGCAAAGAACAGTTGAAAAGTTATGAATTGCAATTATGAATGGAAGTTATAGATGGAAGCTTAAAATTAGTTATATCTATATCTATGAATTTCAAACAGATTTTGGTATGTGCTTCTATTTTTCCAAACAGAAATTCCAAAGAATCTTTTTTTATTTTTTGAAATTCATAGCAAGACAAGTCCTTTTATTGGTTATAGGATTGAACTAAATGAAAATAGTAAAATAAAATATTTAAAAATAATAAAATGGTAACATTTGTAGAATACTTTTATCAAGAATGTATAAATCCTCAACTTTTTTGCCAGCATTTACATTAACCTATGAAATTTTAATACTCTTAACTGCTGAGAAAACGGAGGCACGGGGAAATAATAAATTCTCCCAGATTTGTATAGTCAGTATTTAGACTAGATCTGAATCTGGAACTCCATAACCCCTCCCTTAACCTATAACCCCTACCTTAACCTATAACCCCTACCATAACCCCTACCTTTTAACCACCTTTTCTATAATGCCTCTCAATTTTGGCAAGAGAAAGGGAAATTCTATAGTATTCCTCGTTATCTTATGATGTTCATTCAAAGGTCAAATTCACACCTCTTCCAGATGGACATTTTGTGGTTCTTTCTAGAAAATAGCTCATGGTTCTTCACAAAGATCTCTTTGACTTAAGGCTCTCCTATCCAACTTCAGATGCTACCCCATCAGGGTGGCTTAAAATTATCGGGTGCTTACTTACAACCTTTTTAGTAAATGTCTTTCTGGCTTGGGGAGGCTTTGGTATTTCATATTTAGTAAAAGTGTCTGCTACCTGCCCTTAGAAAATATCTTCGTTTTATGTCTCCCAGACTGCTTGTTGCTAAAGGCAAAATGTGAAGTGGATAGTGTTGGAATTTCACTGTGCTGTAGAAATTAGGTGCAACTACTACATTAAAAGCAACGGCAGGTGCTGTAAATCTGAACTTTGTTTGGAGGGAGAAAGAGAATAAAAGTAAAACATGTGACAGTAGATGGGCTGCAAATTTCCAAGGTGAAGACAGTTTTCCTAAAGAAACAATTAAACTTTTCTACCAAGAAATTGTGTTTTATTTTGGACTGCTTTTAAAATGTGCCGGTATAACACAGATTTCTAAGTTTGGTCAGTTTCTAGAAAGTCATATAATTTCTTTCATTTCTTCTCTTTACCCAATTTTAAAATATATTTCTTATTAAAGTAATTCATCTTTATTGTAGAATATCTTGACATACACGAATAACCCCAAATATCATAATACAAAAATAAGTACCATTAACATTTTAGTGGGTTTCCTTTTAATATTTTACACAAACATACATCTAAATGTAATCTATTCTTTTCATTTACTAATATATCACAGAGTTTTTTCATCTTATTGAATATTCATTGATGACCTTGTTTTTAAACAGTTGGTTAGCATTCTATGTGTGAAGCAAAGAATACTGTATCTTAAAGTATTATGCTAGAAATTGAAGTCATTTACAGTTTTACACTGTTATAAATAATGCAACAATGAACACTGCAGTAGCTAAGTTTGGTACACATTCATGATTATTTTCCTTAGGATGAATTCCCATACTGGACATATTGATACCAGGGGTTTGAGAAACTGTCTAGTTGCTTGTCCAAAAACCCACCAATTTCTCACTGGTGTATTTCTAATCTTTCATTTGAGCACTTTTGCTGGGCTGTTATCTCTATACCAGGAAAGCAGGGCCCCTCTTTACCTGTTAAAAGCTGAGACACACCATCAGCTACTTTTCCATTCATTTTCATGTTCACCTCAGTCTCCCTATTTTTCTCTGTTGTACCCGGGCAAGGTTGGCATAAAAGAGAGAGAAAAGATAAGGAAGCCTAGTAGGGAGAGAAGTAAACACACTCCTAAGTCAAACTTTTGTGGATATGATGCTTTCCTTGTAACAGAAGTCAGATAAGGAAGATAAAAGCTACTCATCTGCATTCGTTTCCTCTGATGATTTAGCACTTGGATCATTAGATTGTAATGTGTGGAAGGGAACGAATCCCGCTAGGCTGTCTTGGTACTCAGTGTATCTTTCACCCAGTGCCTGGAGTTTCCCTCTGCAGGATTCTGCCCCTCATCAGTGGGCAAGACTGGACTACTGTATGAAGTCAAAATGATTCTAGTCCTTACCTAAAGCACAACTTTAAGAATCAAGCTGGCCACCTGGAGGGATAGTGTTCATTCTTTATTCTTAAGGTATAATTTGAAAGTCTTTCTTTTTCAGAAACCACTTAAAATTGTCAGTCATTTTTTTTCTTTCCTATCTATATCACATGAGAATAAAACAGGGAAAATTAGACTCTTAGGGTTCTATCTCAAAAAATAGGAAAATGAAAAAAAATCATATTTAAACGAGAGCAGTCCATTTTGGATAAAAATAGTGTCATTTTACAGCCCCAGCTCCTCATTTTCCAATTATATCTATTAATAATAACACGAGAGGAGAGACTGCCTTCATTCTACATAATTTACCTGTAGAGGCATACAGAACAGAAATACTGTTTTCATTTCTTCTTGTGAACAAGAAAAATAAGTAAGTTAGTATGAAAAGTCCAGGGGATTAGACCAGCTGGACTGATTTGCTTCACTGGGCACAAGGAGGAAAAATAGAGCTTTTTTCATAATAAAATATCAAAAAAAAAATCATAGTTAAAGCAAAGCTACATTTGAAAACCCAAACATGAACCAAAATATTGGTCATATTCCTCCAAAGTAGTTGACAGACATGAGCTGAGTCCAAGGTCCATGTAAACCAGCAATGTCATGCATTAATCTTAGGGACAAAGGGACCATTTAGCCTATGGATTGCGTGTAAGTGTGAAAAAAATGATCAATGATCATTCCAAACTGAATTATTCAAAAGAAGGGCTTTCTTTTGTTATGCCCTTTCTTTACAAAATAAATCAGTGTGCTGAAATATATTGCATTTTAAATGTAGCTTTTTTCCAAAATCCTTCAGTCAAAGTAGTTTATTGCATGTCATATACCTCTTCTTAATCAAACACAACTGCATCAGATT